AGAACACACACACACATGAACACAGATAACACAAACACACAAACACATGAACACAGAGAACACAAACACACAAACACATGAACACAGAGAACACACACAAACACATGAACACAGAGAACACAAACACACAAACACACAAACACATGAACACAGAGAACACACACACACATGAACACAGATAACACAAACACACAAACACATGAACACAGAGAACACAAACACACAAACACATGAACACAGAGAACACACACACACACACATGAACACAGATAACACAAACACACAAACACATGAACACAGAGAACACAAACACACAAACACATGAACACAGAGAACACACACACACATGAACACAGATAACACAAACACATGAACACAGAGAACACAAACACATGAACACAGAGAACACAAACACACAAACACATTAACACAGAGAACACACACACACACACATGAACAGAGAGAACACAAACACATGAACACAGAGAACACAAACACATGAACACACACACACACACACACACACACACACACGTGAACAGAGAGAACACAAACACATGAACACAGAGAACACACACACACATGAACACAGAGAACACAAACACACAAACACATGAACACAGAGAACACACAAACACATGAACACAGAGAACACACAAACACATGAACACAGAGAACACACAAACACATGAACACAGAGAACACACAAACACATGAACACAGAGAACACACAAACACATGAACACAGAGAACACACAAACACATGAACACAGAGAACACATGAACACAGAGAACACAAACACATGAACACAGAGAACACAAACACACAAACACATGAACACAGAGAACACACAAACACATGAACACAGAGAACACACAAACACATGAACACAGAGAACACACAAACACATGAACACAGAGAACACACAAACACATGAACACAGAGAACACACAAACACATGAACACAGAGAACACAAACACACAAACACATGAACACAGAGAACACAAACACATGAACACAGAGAACACACATACACATGAACACAGAGAACACACAAACACATGAACACAGAGAACACAAACACACAAACACATGAACACAGAGAACACAAACACACAAACACATGAACACAGAGAACACATGAACACAGAGAACACAAACACATGAACACAGAGAACACAAACACACAAACACATGAACACAGAGAACACACAAACACATGAACACAGAGAACACACAAACACATGAACACAGAGAACACACAAACACATGAACACAGAGAACACACAAACACATGAACACAGAGAACACACAAACACATGAACACAGAGAACACACAAACACATGAACACAGAGAACACAAACACACAAACACATGAACACAGAGAACACAAACACATGAACACAGAGAACACAAACACATGAACACAAGAACACAAACACAGAGAACACACATACACATGAACACAAACACATGAACACAAACACACAAACACACACACACACACACACACACACACACACATGAACAGCTCTGGTCAGACCTGTGGCCGCTGTCAGAAACAAGCCCAGCTCTGTGAGTGCGAGTGGCTCATAAAGAGAGCAGTGTACGACACACTCCGCTCTCCACACATGCCTCTTATAACTAATGAAATTACACACTGAATCAGTGAGTTTGTCCTCAGGGCCGCGAGCCAGACGCTGCAAACACCCGTGAGTCCGGCGGGAGCGTTAATAATGTTCTTAATAAAGTTCAGACCTATCTCTCAAACTAATGAACAAAAGTAACATTAATAGAACATTCAGTGAAAGTTAGTTATCTTCTCTTTAATAATGTTCTGAGGTAGAACAAAATCATGGATCATGGAGTGTTTCTTCTGGAATGTTTCAGTTGATGTTTGTTTTTAAATGTAACAGTTTTTAAATGTTTCTTGTTTCAGAACGTTCAGATTCAAAAGTAACGTTCCATAATGTGTGAGAATGATACAGTGTCACTGTTCCCGTAACGCTCACAGAACCAAGAACACACGCTTTTAAACATCAAGGAAACATTCAGAAATAATGTCTTCATAATTTAATGGGAATGTTAGAAAAATGTTAGAAAAATGTAATAACGCTGTTAATAAAGTTCAGATCTATCAGTGAAAAGGATGTGACGGTTAATCTGGATGTTTAACGCTCGTGCGTCATTAAATAGAGTTACACACAGATCCATAGTGGAGAAAGATGTCTGTGTCAAAAAACTGTCAAAAAAATGTGAGCTTGGGAACAAAGACTTAAATTGGGTCGCATTTTAAAGAAGAGCCATGGCAGATTGTTTAAAAGAAGTTTAAAAAGTAGAACAAAAAAAGTTATGAGGTTTTTCATTACACACATACAAACCACACTCTGACAACAACAACAACAACACACACACACACACACACACACACACAATAAATGTATCCAATTGTCTCTACAGAAGCAGAAAACAGGAATAAAGCGAGTATTTGCTTTAT